CAAGATCTTGCTGAAATTGGTTGATGAGAAAGAACCAGTTTTGAGCCAGAGAATTTTGATTGAAATGGAAAGGACAAGGCCGAAGCCTGGCACTAGCTTATGATGTTCTGGGAGCGTTTTTCTAACCTCCTCTCAGAATCCCAACAAACCACAGACTGGGGCGGGTCACATGAAGTGTGGCCTTTAAAGCCTGCAAAGATTCACACGGATGACAGGAATGGGTTCCTTCACAAGCATGCCTAAAATAGTCTAAAAATATCAAAGACAAAATACACGATGACAATAATATACCCAATGACCTGAAGGATCATGTGTGTTCATTCAAAGAAAGGTTTTCCTATTTAATAATTAGCAAAGGAAAGTCCTTCCCTTGTGGATTTTCCTTATGGACAAGGAAGCGATTTTCTTCACCTAAATTCCAGGAGGTCGTAAACGTATCGGGTGTCACCATTGCTATGGACCAGGGGCCTGTTCAGCTTCCTGGGGTGTTACAGAGTGTTTGTTAAATCTAGCTAACAAAATATATATTGTGTGTTTGAGTGGTCCAGACGCTACATAATCAAACCCCTCGAGACAGTGTCAAAGGCAAACGAATGAAAGGGTCCGGTGCAAATTGGTGGCAAAACAGGTCCCACCAAGAATTGAATGAGGATCGCTGGATTCAGAGTGCTAATCATTAAACAACAGAACCTTGACAGGAGCAGACTTTGCTCACATGGCCGCAAAGACTAAATCACTTATAGTGAATTTTGGTTATTGGCCCCCTCGAACAACAGGAAAAGTGTCATCTGCCGAAACCCAGGATCTAACCAGAGACCTTTAGATTTTCAGTCTAAAGCTCTACCAAATGAGATCTTTTGGCCACAACCTCACAGTGTTCAGACAGCGGTATTTCCGTGAGACCACCTGTCAATTTGCCTGAAGAGCAGAGCTGAGCTTCCAGAGAACAAAAGAAGATGACCCATACGGGGATCAAACCTGAGACCTTGGCGTTATTAGCACCACTCTCTAACCAACTGCGCTAACCGGCCTGGTTTTGCTTGGGTTTCTGCCCGATTGACCAAAAACTTCCTGATCGTTCAGGACCCTAAAGAGAAAACAGCACTTAAGGTCCAAACCACACTATGGACTCGTCTTGGATATGAACCCAGGACCTCTCGCACCCAAAGCAATAATCATACCCCTAGACCAACGA